TTCCCTGAAAATCTGGGTGCATTTTATACATTGAATACAGCATTTTTTTGCCACCCAAAACCCTTTCCCCTTCACCAAAATGGCTGTGCATAGCTTGTAGAAGACTTTCAGACAGCTCCTGGAGGCTTGGGAGGGCAGAAATTAGCTCGTCGTCCCCACCGAAGCACTCTACAAGCCTCCTAAGGGCTATTCATGCCCCTTTTTGGGGGGAAAAATGGGCCCGTTTTGGCAAAAAACAGGTCATTTTGGGGAGGTTTGCAGAGTGCAAAAACTTTTTTATTTAAATTTGCCTCTTCAAAACCTTGGTGCGTCTTATACTCCAGTGCATCTTATATTCCAAAAAAAATATGGTACATGTTTTTACAATGTTCTACACTTACTACATTTGGGGAGAAAGTAGTGGATTATATAAATATGACCCTGACATAAGTTAATTTTTTCAGAAGACAATATTCTCTTCAATTACATACTGTATATATTATGTGTAATTGGACAACTGTATAATGTAAGTGGATTCTCTGTGCCTTACATGGTCAAAAAATTGATATTGCAACATTTGAATGATAAATGTATGGCCCCATTTACGCAGTGGATTGAAGACATGATTACACTTGCCATCTCTGAGTGGATTGCCTATAAATGTAGAGAGAACTTTATTTATATAATAAAATCTGGAACTCATTTACACAAGTGCAATAGTTTAAACACAAACGATAGTTTATGCTAATGTTTTAGAAATAAATATACATGTACTTAAATAATGCCTACCAGAGGTGGGTTCCTTCTAGCTGAATGACCCAGGCCTGCCACACCCCCAAACCGGTTCCCCGGTCGGCACCATTGACGCCACCATCTTGTTTTTTAAGTTCTGCACATGCGCAGAACAATTTTAATTGAAGTGTGCATGTGTGCGCAGCTTGCATCCAGGGTGGACACATGGGCGCAGTGAGTGTGCAAAGTGCTCGCACGAGCAAACCGGCAGTAAAGCCAGCTGGAAACCACCCCTGATGCCTACATTAGATAAGAATATATAGAACTGTAACTGTTATAATGACATATTATACATCAGGTTTTTTTCTGTTGTATTTTTTTCTTTCTTTTTTTAAAAGTGATTTTTCTGCACTTTTTCTTTTTTGAGAATGTTCGCATTATAATTATTTTTGTGTTTTATTCCTTTTCTTTTTCTATTGTTATTTTAAAAGCACTAAAATATAAGTAAATAAAATAAATGCTAATCCCTGATCTAAGCAAGATTTTCCAAGAAATAAAAACATTTTTGAAGACAATTTGATGACAACACTATGTGGATATTTTCTTAAAGAGAGAGTGGGGGAGGGGAGGGAGGGAAAGGGGGAAGGGAGAGGGAGAGAGAAAGAGGGAGAGAAGGAGAGAGGGAGGGGAGAGAGAACAGTGTGTAGATAATACATAGTATGTAGTATATAAATTATATTTATTTGAACATGGAAAATAATTTTATTGATATCACTGAAACTCATTATTACTTTGTATTTAACAACAAGATTTTGGACATTTTAATCATATTTAAGACCTTACATGATGTATGGGTTCATCTGCAATGCTTCAGGGCTCTCACGAAAAAGATTTGCATAGTAATGAAATATCGGTCTTATTCGTGGTAATAAATATTGCTTTAAAGAAAATAAGAAGACATAATTATTTTATAATTGGGAAAAGACACTTAACCAGTGGCAAATCAAATCCTAAAATATGGAAAGAATACATTTTTTGAGGAATTATGATCAGTCCTATTAAACTTATCACCCAACTGTAGGTTTGATATTTCTTATTATATAGACATTTTCCTATTCTATTCCTCTGAAATAAAAATAATTCTAATAGAATAGAATAGAATAAACTTAATTTTCACTTTGAATTGGCATACATTAAAAATGAAATTTAGCTGTATACAGTTCTCAAAAGGTCCAATGTATTCTCCAAATGTGCCTCCATTTCCCTGTACTTGAATTAAGGAGAATATTTGTGTTGAGGGAGTGGCCTAGTGGTGAAGATGCTCGTCCCCCATTCAGAAGGTTGAGAGTTCAATCCTAGGTAGTGGCAGATGTTTCTCTCTTAGGGCACAAAGAAACATACTTGCTGCAATCTCCACATAGGAATCAGGAAGGGAATCCAACCAGTAAATGCTCAGCTCACTCAGTCGCCCTGACTAAGGAATTACAGCGTCATTTTAAAAAAGAAAGACACACACATACACATACACACACACACACACACACACAGAGAGAGAGAGAGAGAGAGAGAGAAAACACACACACACACACACACACACACACACACACACACACACAGAGAGAGAGAGAGAGAGAAAACACACACACACACACACACACACAGAGTTTCTGATTGTATAATTTTTATCAAAATCTGAATATTAGTTTGTAACATTTTGCTAAATGCCCCAGGACAGAACAGATTGCTACTTAGTTTCTTTCTTCTCTTAGTATGTTGAGAATAATTAGAATGAATATAGTTAATTTCAGTATCCATTTCAGTTACCTTTACAACTGGAAATAATTCAGGATCTCTCAGAAGAAAACCCCTGTTTGAAATGCCCAGTGCATCCAAAGCCATTGTCCACACTGTTGGATCATCTTCTTTTGCAAGGTATTTAGTTAAATACAGCGGAGCTTCATATCCAGTGTGATTCAACCTATTTAAAACAAGTCATATTTAACTGTGGTTCTCAAACACTTTTCAATAAATCTCAATATTCTTTTAGACGAATTATAAAGTCTTATAAAGTTTGTAAAACAGAATCCATAAATATATATGCAAGAACATATAAATAAGACATTATTTAGTGACATTTTAAAAAGCTGTTTGGTAGGAATAACATATATATAGTTCACTTTGGAAGGTATCAACATTTGTACTTTCTGAAGTTTTAGTAATTTGCAGAAATTGCCAGACCTACCATAGTTTAAGAGAGTTTTTAAATCCTGAAAAATAGTGCATTTGTAATTAGCTTCAACGATATTATGATCAACCAAAGAAATGGCATTTGAGAAAAATGGCATTTTAAAACACACAAACCCATACAAAGCTAACTTTCCATGCAATGTTAACTGAAAGAAGCTGAAATGAATATTCCTTTAAACAACATGATTTTACTGGGGCATGACTTTTAAAGCCATCAAAAGAGAGATGGTATTCAGAAGGTTCTGATCAGTTCTGGAGAACTGGTAGTGGAAGTTTTGAGTAGTTCGGAGAACTGGTAAATACAATCTCTGACTGGCCCTACCCCCATCTATTCTCTGCCTCCCGAGTCCAAGTTGATCTGGAGGAAATGGGGATTTTGCAGTAATCTTCCCCTGGAGTGGGGAAGGAACGAAGATTTTACAATATCCTTCCCTGCCACACCCACCAAGCCATGCCCACTAAGCTATGCAATGCCCACCAAGCCACGCCTACAGAACCAGTGGTAAAAAAATGTTGAATCCTACCACTGCATCAAAACCTATACCAAAGAACTATATTTTAAAAGGAAAGGTATTGTAAAACCAACAGGTCTGACAATTTTGGAATTGATTTTGTCCCATTCTACATGTTTTTTCAGTGCTTGCTACATTAGAAAACTTCCGGGATGAATCAGATTATTGATCTGCAAACACAAAGTTATATAGAAATATTTGATGAATACCTGGGGGTAAATCAGCAGCACTGGAATAAGGAAAACAAAAGCACAAATGAAAAATATAGGGATTGCAGAAATAAAACAACTGCTTGTAGTTTATAACCTTACTACTGACACAATAATCTTTTGTAAATAAAATCAAGTAAGAAATTCTGCAATGCACCTTCCCACTTTACTTGATTGCAGTCAACATCAGAATGCTATACAGAGCACCACTTCATATATGCATTGCATCTGAAATGGTTTAAATTGTCTTTCTTCAAAACCGTAATGACACAGAGCTTAGAGATTCCAGGTATCATTATCTATCACAACTTTTTCCAAGTTGAGACATTCAACATAAAAGCCATTAGAGAAGAAAAGATAGCAAAAGAATACAATGTATTTTATTAGTTCAGGAGTTGTCTATCTGGAAATACCTCCTAACTTCATCTTTACTTTGCTTCTGAGTCAATAGCCAGATAGAAGAAAACACTAGCAGAATTCAAGATATACTCACAGTTCAAAAGCTTATGAATGGCGAGAACTTGATTTGGATCAGGAAGCAGGCTGAGGCCAGAGAAGGCAGGTGGTCTGGGGTCAGAGCTGGAGCAGAAAAGGAGCAGGAGCAAGAAACAGGATAGAGGCAGGATAGAAAGTACACAGTTGGAATGCAGATTCAAAAATGCCAGTAAGAAAGATTGGCAGGAGAGACATGTGCATGGCTAAGGCTGCAGTCTTAAATACTTTTAGTAGGAAGTCCTAAATGAGATTTACATCTGAGTATAAATACTTAGGACTGCATTACACAGCATCAACTCCACACAAGCTGAAGAGTAAAGCGAATGAATTATGAGGGATCTGTTCCTACAATAAACAACCTGGAATGTACTGTGAACATGTACATTGGGTGTGATCAGGCAAGAGGCCATTCAATGTACAGGTGAAGATAACTGGCTAACCCATTGCTATTTATTACTCTTTCTGCTGCCCAAGGAACAGAGGTGGGTTTCAAATCCTAATGCTACCGATTTGCTCATGTTGTGTGCATATTCGTGCCTGCGCATGCTGCTTCTGTGCATGCGCAGAAGTGGCCAGCTGGGTGGGAAGAGCCTCCCTCCGTTGCCACTAACAGTTCGGCTGATCCAGGCCAAATTGGGAGCAACCCACTTCTGTCTAGGAACTGTAGCAGTTCTGTACTTTTCCCAAAGCTTGTGACGTATTTTCAACTACAGTAAGGTGACCAGACATCCCGATTTCAGCATGACAATCACGCCTTATAACAATTTGTCCCATTTCCCGCCGCGTTTTTAAAAAGTCCCGATTTTCTGGCTTCATGTTGAAAGCCCAGTGGATTT